TCCACCCATAGATTATGTTTTATTCCAGGCGCTATTTCTCAAGCCCATAGATGCACGTACAATGCCGTCCCACTGAGCAGAGTGCCTAGGCTCTGATTCCCATAGTTGCACTAATTATTCATTACCTTCACGGGTCGTATTTTTGATTAACCAATGTAAGTAGAGAAAATTGAGGATCCATATCCTTAGTCGCTTGCTGCATCTCGAGTTGATTTCTAGTATATTTTGTCCATAATGCCGGATTTATGAGACAATGCGAACAGCAGATGTACTAACGATACATGAAACTTGTTAAGATGTGCATACCTTCTGACCGATGAAGCCGGATAGTGTTCTTGGTTTAGTATTAACGTGAGACTCTTACAAGAATGAAACCCAGCTCTGAGGATGTCCATCATATCATGGACGAAAGCTCAGCACGTTTTCACCTGAAACGAGGGAGGAATACTCGTGGACCGTATCAACATGAATATAATATAAAAGCTAAATGGCTGCAGTACAACGATTTTCATCCGTCCTAATCTGGTGAGATCGAAAAACGAATCTCTTCTTCATGTACTTTCATTTAAAATGAAGGTCCCATTAATAATGTTATCTCAGGAGATTCATCGAAACCAAGATTCTCTTCGTATCTACAGTGGAATATAAACAAGTTAAAAATTGCGATAAGGCAGGACTGGGATAAGAGGGTAAGGAGTAGATACATTGGCCAATACAGGAAGCGAAATGATATAACAACCGTTTCGGCCGAAATGTGGTCTAGGGAGAGACTCTACTTCTTTATTTGACGCGTTGTAGCTTGGTGCTGAGAATGGTAAGGCACACTTTTGACTTCGATGTAGGCGAAATGTCTTATAATTTACCAATTTCATGGTCTGTCGGTGAGACTAATCATAAATACCATAACAAAAGACTTTGAACAAGGTGCATCCAACTAATTCGATATGATAACAAGACCAATTTGAGAAAACTCGCTCAACTTAAACAAATCACCGGGTTCAACATTTGCATTGTATCCATATTCAGAGTTAAGACGTATTTAATCTTCTTGTAATTTTTAATTCATAAATAACAAGTAATTTTTATCCTAATTTTCGTATTTTTAATTAATTGTAATACATGTAGTGAGTTATTACTTATTTTGTTTTACTCAACTATAAATAACCACTATTTTTAGATGTAATGAAATTCCCCTCATGATGTCTTCGGATTCTGAAGACTTTGTCGTGATTGAGAAGAATGCTTCAAACTCGGAGAGTCTTTCAAAACAGTTTATAGAGCGTCTGAAGGTGCTAATAGATCTCTACAAGTTATCTGCTGGTGACTTTATTTTTCATGTATTAATTATTAAGACTCCCTTAATCAATCTAATATTCTACTTAAAGAGCAGATTTATTCAGCTTCGGACCTTGTATTCCAATACAGTGAACCAGATTTTGAGACTGATGTCAAGGAGCTCTTGGATAAAATTTCTGATATGGTTATTCATATATATTTTTAAACATTCTAGCCTGAAAATGCTCCAGAACGAGTAAGACGAGGTTATATTCAAAGTTTATGTTCTCGTCTTATTGCTTTCGATGGGGAAAATAGGTCTCTTAAGTATGAACTCGCAAATCTTAAGCTTCAAATCGAGCAACAAGAAATGAAACTATCAGCTAAAGTTAAGGAAAATGAAGAATTAGTCTCAAAGTTGGAGGCTAAGAAGGCTATTCCTGAGCCTTTCTTCGGCACGCAAGTGATATTTTTTGTCTGCCTATTAAAATAAGCTTAATGGTTGCTCAATTTTTTGTGATTTCTTTAAATCAAATAAAAAGCTTGAAAAATCTTCTTATCTAGATATATTAATTTCAGTAGTGCTTCTGACATAATTAATAAAGTTAACTACTCGCAGCCTAATGAAGCGTCTCATGGAATTGATCAATTTAAAAGTAGGTCACGATTCCTTCAAACGGACATTCAGATCATTTCAATTGCTTTATATCAAATCGTTCAATTACTCGCTTCATATAGCCCAAGCCCTACTCCTTTACAGTATATTTTTCTGTTTCTACAGCTTAAACTATTTATTCTATCTCCAGTTCGCTCCATATTTTGAAGACTTGCTTTTTTAACTATTTGCTATACCTATCTTCACGTGTCTTTTATAACTTTTCTTTTCGATCTTGGCCTTCATTCTATATACTTCTTCATAGATGCATATAGTGTTGTCTCAACATCATAATGTATGGTTTCTTATTTAAATTCAAGTTGCATAGCTTGTCTTTGTATCCACTGAATTGATTCGATTTAATATAGATACTTTCTCTCTCTCTCTCTATATATATATATATATATATAGACATACCCGATTTGATAAGACTGATGATTTGCCTAGCCCCACATGTGTTATGGTTTGTGGTCATTTTACTTTAGATTGGTAACTTGTTATGTTGTTCAAAATTTAAGGAGAATTATAAGTATAGTTAATTTGGGAGGTCTTTAAGAGCACAAAATATCTACACAATGTATTACATCCACTAGAATATCTTTCATTAACTCTGAATTCTTGTGGTAAAATTCAGTCTGCAATTTCCTTGGTTTCAGAATTTAAAAAGACTAATAAAAGTTAATCTAATTTGTTCACGTCATTTATTGGATACATGGATTTCCTTATTCTATGTATATCCTCTTTTCTGTTGCCTATTCTGACTTTTGTCTGCCCTCGAGTTTCCTGTTTTACTAATACTTTGTGATGTCTCCTATCTTAAAATCTTTTGAGAAATTGCCTCTTGCACAATTTGAAAATAGTAAATCTTCTGAAATGCGATTAATGACCAAATATTGCCTGATTTTACATATTTTATTGCTCCGAAAATTTCCGGGTTTAGGTAATTGGCCTACCTAACCTTGTCTCATTAACTTGCGAAATCACTTAAGCATGGCATAATGTTTGCAAAAGCCTAAAAAGTTAAATTGGCATTATTTAATGGCTATTGACTACTAGCTACTTCGATAATTTCTTATCAGCTCATTGTTTGGTTATACCATTGTTTGACATTTTGTAGTGTTCCTCTTATAATTTTTAACACACTACTTAAGCAAATGAGTAATCCTTCAACTTAGTATGGCATTAGATTTTACCTTCCTTGATGGATACTCTCTGATATATTTGAATCTGCCTCAGAGATATTATTTTATATTGTATGCTTGCGACGACTACATTTTTCGTTACATTTCTATTTTTGAAAGTTTTAATTATACGTACGTTAACGTGAGCTCAATGAAACTGCCGACTAAGTCAACCAGTTGAAGTCGATCCTTAAAATTTAAGCTTGATTAACCTTACTGAATAGATTTAGAAACTATCAGCAGATAATTTATAAGATTCCGCATCACCTTGGGTGGAGAGCCTGATTATTCTAGTTATGGTTCTTTTCTAAGATTGTTTTGAGTAAAGTTCAAATAGATAATTTGATAATAGCATGCTCTTTTTTCATTCTATAGCTTATCAGAGCGTCTCTTGGGGCCGAAATTCAATAATGCCTGGGAGCTAAGTGGCTTTTACTAGCCATCCTATTCA